GGTGCTGGGGGATCGAACCGCGGTCCCTGTGCTTTGCTAAGCTTGTTCCAAGTAGGTGCTTTAGACCACTGAGCCATCTCACCAGCCCCCTCCATATAGTTTTCATTAAAACAATATTCCAGCATAAAAACACCACAAAATGTCAATCTAGGGATAATTTCTACTACTATTTATCTCTCTTCCAAATAAATCCATTTATTATTTTCCTGAGACGGGGTTTGACATGTGACTCAGGCCAGCCTGAACTGAGTACATAGCCCAGGCTGGCCTTAAACCTGTAGCACTTACAGCCTCAGCCTCCCAAGTGCTGGAGTCACAGGTGTGCACCACACACCTAGCATAAACTTTTCTTAATAAGCAGGTAAGGGGCCGGGGAGATGGCTCAGTGGAATAAGTGCTTCCCTGGCAAGTGCAAGGGCCTGAGTTCAATCCCCGGTTCTGGAAAAAAAAAGCAGGTAAATATATGTTATTTTATATCCTGATGCCATTTTCCTTACCCCACTGTCTTATTTCTAAAACCATTACAAGAGGCTGGGCATGGTGACAAATGCGTATAATCCCAGAACTTGGGAGGCTGAGGAGGGGAGGGTCACTTCAAGTTCAAGGCTAGCCTCAACTGCATAGTGAGACCCTGTCTCAGGAAAAATACACAAAAATTAAACTACTAAAAGGATGCACATCATCCGAAGAACCCATAAAACTACTGGCTAAATCACTTTTCACTCTAAAATGCACCTGCACACATCAGGACAAAGAAATGTGAAGTGGGCATGGCCTGTCTGTAACCCAAGAGTTGGGTGGCTGAGGCAGGAGGATCACCAAGAGTTGGAGGCCAACCTGAACTACAGCAAGACCCTGTCTCAAAGTAAATAAAAAAAGACGTAGGGTGAGGGGATAAAACTATACTGACAAGAAATACAGTAATGCGTCCAGGTAGGTTTTCTCTTTATTTTAAAGAGAAAAAAATATAGGTGCTAGGGAGATAGCTCAGTAGAATAAGCACTTCCCTGGAAAGCACAAGGCCCTGAGTTCATTCCCCAGTTCTGCCAAAAAAAAAAAAAAAAAGAGAGAAGAATAAAATTTCAAAACAGGGGCTGGGAGATGGCTCAGTGGAATAAGCGCTTCCCTGGCAAGCACAAGGACCTGACTTCAATCCCCAGTTCTGAAAAAAAAAAAAAAAAAAATCAAAATAGGAAAAAATAGGAGGGTAGCAACAGTTAGTACACTGTATATTATCTTTACTCAGATCAAAAGATATCAGCATTTAATTGTCCAAACAATATCAACATAAACCTTTCTTTTCAAAACCCTTGAGAAATTAGTATAACTACTTGATCATATATTATTTATATACACACACACACACATCTTATACATTAATTGCTCTTCCCTTTGTTCTTTTCTCTACTCCCCCATCCCCATCTCTCTTTCCTTTTGCAGTTTCTTCCCATCTTACAGTATCTATTGCACATTTTGGATTTTATTCTTTCAGCTTCTCACACTAGGGACACAACATGATGCTTACACATGGACATCTAGTTTACTTCACTGATGAGTATGGTCTTGAGTTGCATCTATTTACTTTTAAGTGTCCAATTTATCCTTTGTGGCTGAGTAAACTACAATGCATAAAAATAAATCTCTTTAATCCATTCCTCAGTAATGGGCATTTAGATTGTTTCCAAGATCTAATTTTTTTTTTCGGAACCGGGGATTGAACTCAGGCCCCATATGTTTGCCAGGCAAGTGCTTATTCTACTGAGCCATCTCCCCGGCCCCAAATTATTACAAATTGAGCTGCTATAAAAATGCGTGCACATATATCACTGTGGTACAGTGTTTTTAATTCTTCTGGGAAGATACCCAGAAGGGGAATAGCTAAGTAAAGTGGGACCTCCAATCCCTGTTTTGTGAGGAATCTCCACACTGCTTTCCACTGTGGCTGCCCAAGTCTACACTCCCACCAATTGTGGTCAGTGGTTCCCTTTCCCCCACAATCCTACCAGCATTTTTTTTTTTTTTTTTCAGAACCAGGGATTGAACTCAGGCCCTATTCTACTGAGCTATCTCCCCAGCGTCAGCATTTGTTATGGATTTCTTGATGATAGCCATTCTTTCTGGGGTGAGATGAAATCTAGTGTTTTAATTCGCACCTCTCAAAGGACCAATGATATTTAAGTATTTATTTGCTGTTTGTATTTCTTCATCTAAGAAACGTTTGATTTCGGATGCCCATTTTTGGATTGGGCCTTTACATTTTGTTTGACTTGAGTTCTTTATATGTTCCTACCAATAATCCTTTGTCTAAAGAATTAGGTTCTCTCAAGTCCTCTTTTATAAACTACAGACATGGGGCTAGGGATTTAGCTTAGCAGCACAGTGCCTGCCTGGCAAGTACAAGGTCATGAGTTCAATTCCTGGTACCAAAAAACAAATAAATATAAATATAAATATATATTATATATATGTAC